CTGCCAGGCCCCAGTGCACGCTGGGAGATACAGCCCTTAGGACGTCGCCCCGCCCCGTGCATGCTGGGAAATGTAGTCTCTGGGGTGGCTCCGTTCCGGTGTGTGCTGGGAGCTGTAGTCCCACTCACTTGCTCCTTCCACTCCTGTGTCCCGTCCGGCAGCTGCAGCGGGCGCTGGCATGCAGGCTGCCCCCCACCAGGGCGGGGCCCCCAGGGTAGGGGCGTCCGGGGGGACATCCTGCGCGGTGTGTGGCCCAATGGTGGGGGTGATGCCCCTTGCTCTAGTGGGGGATTGGTAGCCCCCTGGGTGGGGGCGATGGGGCATGGCAGGGGCTGTGGGGGCCCCTGCCTATAACCACCTCTGTGTCTCTTTTCCCCCCCCCCCCCCGCTCCCGCAGGGCTCAGGGCAGCAGTGAGGCCCCCCAGGACTGGGCAATGTCGGAGGGGCCAGCACCTGCTGCAGCTGAGGGGCTCTACCATGAGCGTCAGCGCTTGGAGCTCTGCGCCGTCCACGCCCTCAACAACGTCCTGCAGCAGCGGCGCTTCACCCAGGAGGCAGCCGATGAAATCTGCAAGAGGTCCCTGTGGTGGGGGGGCACCCATCAAGTGGAGATGCAGGGGCCCTGCCTTGCCCTGTGCTGGGCACCAGTAGCAGTGCATGGTGCCCCCTGACCTGCCCTGTCCAGCCCAGCAGGGCTAGCCTGATCCTGAGGGGAGGGCAGGGGTTAAGGGGGCATCATGGAGCCTAAAGTCAGGGCAGCCTCTAGCTTGGGGTGTCTGGGCCTCTGGGTGCTGGAGGCTGTAGGGAAGAGGGGCAAGGAAAGGATCTAGCTGGACAGGCCCAGCCTTGATGCTCTTCCCTTCTGTTTCTGGGAAAGACGGGCCTAAACCCCCAATGGATCAGCCTGGCAGGAGTTACAGGCCCCGCTTGATGGGTAGCTTGGCCAGTGATTTGGCTTGTAGACCTAAGGGACTGGAGGCTGCAGGTGGGAGAGGAACAGTAGGGGAAAAAAGGGTCAAACCCAATTAACTTTCGCTTTTAGCTTCTGCTGTCTGACCCTGTGTGACACGGGACTGGATAGGATGGGCCTAGGGCAGGGGTGGGCAAAATGCGGCCTGGGGACCAGATGCAGCCCGCCAGGCCATTCTACCCGGCCCACAGGGCCCCTAAAAAATTTCGAAAATTACTATTGATCTGCCCTGGGCTGCCTGTCATGCAGCCCTTGATGGCTTGCCAAAACTCAGTAAGTGGCCCTCTGCCCAAAATAATTGCCCACCCCTGGCCTAAGGTCTAACCCAGCAGTTGTCCGTTCTTATATTCTTACGTTCTTAATATTGCTTCTCTTATGTTCCAGTTTTGCTCCCAAAGAGCACCTTGCTGTGCTGGCAGCCAGCCCCCCCACAGGGTCCCTGTGCTGGGCACTGCCAGATGCACACAGCACCCTGCTTTTCTCTGTTCTGTGTGCTGCTGCCCCCTTCCAATGCCTCATCATCTCCTGCACCAAGGGGTGCTGACTCCATGCTGCTCCTCTTGCTGTCTCACCATGGTTCAAGCCCCACCCCCTCTCCCTCCCTCCTGCATCAGCCACACATAGCATCCTGCTCGCTGTCTGGCCCACTAACCCCTTCCATTGCCCTCCCTTGTGTCAGGGTCTGTCAGTGCCCATCTCCCCATCCTGAGCACATCACTGAAACTCTCCTGCCTTCTAGGCTGGCTCCTGATGCCCGGATGAACCCACACTGCAGCTTCCTGGGCACAGGAAACTATGATGTCAATGTCATCATGGCAGCACTCCACAGCCTGGATTTTGCTGCTGTCTGGTGGGACAAGCGCAGGTGAGGGCAGGCCTGGGAGGAGGGCAGGAGGGATAGGGCTGCCTGGTGGAGGGTTCTTTAGGCATTGAGGAGGGAAGGGGTATTGGAAGACAGGGGTTCTGGGCTGCAGAGAAGGGAGGGCTGCTGTATGGAGAGGTGGCTGAAGTGTCAGGCGGGAGGCTGCTGCTCTGACTTGGCTATGGCCAGGAGTGCAGGGGTTCGGAGACTGGTGGGGCTGGGGATGAGGCGGTTTCTGGGGTATGGCTGCCCCTGACTGTGTGTGGTCCAGATGCCCCTTTCTCGCTGGGCCCAGCTATGTGCAGCTGTGGTGGAAGCTGGGCCAGGGCAGGGGTAGTGATACCCTGTAAATGCTGGAGGGAGAGGGGGCTGGGGGGCTGGGTAGGAGGGTGCTTGAAGTGCCCAGTGCCTTCTGTCATCCAGGTGGAGTACCTGGATTCCCCACCCCCACCCTGCAGCCAGAGGAGCCCAGCCCATCCCAGCTGGCTCTTGGGCCTGATGTAGCTCTGCTCTGGCAGGTCCCTGGAACAGCTGGTGCTGAGCCAAATTCTGGGCTTCATCATTAATGTCCCATCCAATGTGTCCCTGGGTTTCATGTCACTACCTCTGCGCCGTAAGCACTGGATTGCTGTACGCCAGGTGAACGGCACCTACTACAACCTGGACTCCAAGCTGAAGGCCCCGGCCTGTATCGGTGGGGAGGGTGAGCTCAGGTGCGGGTTCTGGGCAAGGGGCACTAGGGATCTGGGGGGGAGAAGATGGGGGCCAGGACACAAGGTGTCAGGGTATGGGGGAGCTACAGCAAAGGGTACCAGTGGGTCAAGAGGGCTAGAATAAGAGTAGGGGTCCTGAGGGCAGGGCAGAGAATGCTGGGATACAGGGTTCTAGTAGGGACAGGGCAGTGAGAATTTGGATTTTGGGGGATCATATGAAGCTGGATTGTGGGGGCTGGTGAGGTGGGGGGTGATGGGAAGGGGATGGGTGTGGGCTTAGGGTGCAGGGAGTGTGGGGGCTAGGGGCCAGTTGGGCATAAAGATCAGGGTATGATCAGGGCCTGAGGGGATCTCAGGTCCAGGGGGTGGGGGCTGAGGGAGATGCGTAGGGCAGGAGGGATGGGGCTGCCTGGTGGAGGGTTCCTCAGGCATGGGGGAGTGGAGGGGTGTTGGAAGACAGGGAGCCCTAGGCTGCAAGGAAACGAGGGCTGCTGCATGGGGAGGTGGCTGAGGTGTCAGGCAGGAGGCTGTTGCTCTGACCCTTTGCTCCTTGCATGTTCTTCCCCCAGGGCCTTCCTACAGGATGTTGTGTCCCAGAGCCCTTGTGAGGTCCTGCTGGTTGTGCCGCGGGCTGTGGAGGAGGCTGGCAGCTGGCTGAGCCCAGAGTGACCAGCACGGATGGGTGCAAAGGACCTGATTTTCTGTGGGTGTCCCAGTCCTGGGGCCTGGAGCTGCATGTGGGGCTGGACTTGTCCCACCCCTGGAGCAGGCACCTGATGCCACCTCCCTTCCAAAGCTGCCAGTGCCCCTGCCTTGGCCCAGATGCCTGAGGGGCTAAATGGCTGCAGGGTTCTTGCTCTCACTGTGCTGTGCACCAGAAGTCCTCAACCCCCCTGCCCTGGGGCGGGAGGGGTGCAGTGGGGTCCAGACTCTTCTTGTCTTCCCTGGTGCCTGTGGGATGACCTGACCCATCTCTGCCACAAGTGCTTGTCAGGTTTAGAATAAACGATGCAATACTGAATTTTCTGTCTCTGGTTGTTATGGGTTGGAGGTGTCCGATTGGTGTCTGAGGGGGCATGTGGAAGGGGTGGCCTTTTTGGGGAGATGTGGGTATAGTCTGGGGAGGTTGAGGAGGAGGGAGTAAGGTGGGGGCAGTGCCCAGTGGATTGCTGTTTGGGCTGGCTCAGAGGGTATGGAGGGAAGTCTAGGGCTGTGGTGGGCTCTTAGGGTTGGCTAGGAAGATCTGCAAGTGTTGGGGTGGGCATTAGCTGTGGGTAGTGCAGTGGGTTTGGGGTTGGGGGACCTATCTTTTATGAGCCAGCCATGCCTGTTTGTTATGACTTCACCAGGCAGTGCAGTGCACAGGGTGGGCATTACAACTGCACAATGGGGTTGTGGGTCTTTGTGACCTCTCCCAGGCCTGTGATCCCAGACCTATCCCACACCTAGCTTCTGGGGGTTGCAGGCTGGTCCCCCCATAGCCATTCTCTGTTTGCTGTACCCACTGGGGAAGGAATGGGGATAACAGGCCTGTACTGGGAGCTGCTGGGCTGCAGAGGGGCCTGGGGAGGGCATGTAAGTATGTGTGCGCCTGGTGGATTTGCTCAACACAAGGTTTGTGTGTGTACATGGAGACTGGAGTATGCAGAACTATACAGTGTGGGTGTGTGCACTGAGTGCAGTTAGGTGTGACTGGGCACTACATATATGTATGCTAGTGGTTCTCAATGCAATCGAGGCACTGCCCAGAAAATCCTAGCTCTTTGCTTTTGCTTATTTCTTGAACATGGAAAAATAACAGAGCAGTTCTCTTGCACAGAGCTTAGAGAGGCCACGGCAGATCAGAATGTCTTTGACACTAGGGATTCTTGTTTGGAATCTCTGGGTTTATCTTGTGAATCACGTGGGTGTTGGCACCTTCAGCTGGTGCCCATCCTCAATGCTTGAAGATCTTAGTGTCTCGGCCGGGAAGAGCCAACCAAGGGAAACGCTGGTTAATTAAGCAAACGTCAGGCGGGCTGGTAGATGGAGTGGCGAGACAGCGTATTGGTTGCAAAATAATTTTTTACTTACGCTGCTGGTGGCCGCAACGCAGGCTGTAAAGGCTGCTTATGTAGTTGCAACGAGTTGCTCCAACTGGCGAGAACCCGAGCCAGTGAGTCCACAGACGAACTGGGCATGCAGGGGAAGGGTACGTCGGGGATAAGCGCTCGGCGACGGGGAGAAAAATCGGTAGTTGATCAGGCTACTGATTCGCTCTGCCACGAGTCAGGAATTCTTTTAAGTCACTTTGCAGCGTGCTCAAAGTTCTCCAACTTGGGCGGAAGTCGCGCGGATTTTTATACGGCTAGTGAGCCAATTACTAGCCGTTAAGTAGGAATAATTTAGAATCGGCCAATAATGGGGTGCGAATTTACATACAAATGGCAGGAACCTTTTTGCACTAGGGTTTCCCCTCTGCAGCAGAAAATTCCACCATGCAAAGAAGCTCTAGTGTGGCGGGAAAATTCCACTGTGCCGAGGCACTAAAAATCATTGGGTTATGACACTTAGCAATAGCAAACCCTGCATGGCCATCGCAACCACAGACTCTTTCCACACTATGAGCCAGCCTGAACAGCAGCCCAGTGGGCCCTGCTCCCACCTCCCTTCCTCCTTAAACCTCCCCAGGCTATGTGCACATCTCCCCACCAAGCATCCTGGTTGAGAATCACTGGTGTATGCATACTGAATACAGGTGTACGGGTGAATATTGTGTATATGCTTTGATGGGTCTGTGTGCTGAAGGATGAGGTACCTGGGGACAATATGGGGTGAGATGTGTAGGTGTGTCCCCTATGAAAAGGTATGTGTGGTGGGGTCTTTAGGGTTTGTTTGTTTTTTTAAATATAATGTATTTCGTGTTCCAGGTCAAATGAGCCAAATCATATTGAGTGAGAAGAACTCAATTGTTCCAAAAATCATACTGATTGAGCAAGCAGAACTCAATTGTTCTAAACACTATATATGGCACTACAATCAGGGAGCATCCTCCATCCCAGGCCTATCACCCTGGGAATTCAGATACTGTACTCCTAAATCCATTGGCAGGCATCCCACGTGCAGGCCCAAGCTCAGATGTCTTGGGGTTTGGATGTTGCCAGATACTGCAGGTAAGCATCCTTCATTCCAGACTCTTTAGTCTGGGACTTCAGACACTCCCTACACTCAGTCTTACCCCACAAGAGGTGTTTAGGGTTTATGTAGATCTACTTGTGATTTGTGTGTAATGTAGGGCTGTGCTAGGCTTCGGACCATGCTTCGGATCCGGAGAAGCTTCGGACACTTTGGCGTCTGAAGCAGCATGTCCGGATCAAAGCGCTGGCTTCTTTTCTTTCAGAGCTTCCAAACCACTTTGGAAAAGCTTTGGAGCGGCTTCAGAGATCCGGGCATAGGGTTTAATGGGGAATCAATGAAATATCTATAACTTTGTTGTTCTTTGTCCAATTTGGATGAAACTTGCAGGGGTGGTAGCCACTGCTGAGAACATGAAGCCTGTCAAGTTTCAAGAAGATCAGTCAGTGCAGGGGTTCAGAGCGAACTGCACCCCAAATTCTTGAAAGCAAAACTCATGTCATGTGTACGTGTTACACCACAGGGGGGGTGAAAACTGCAGGGATGGTAGCCCCTGCTGCGGCCATGAGGCCTGCTAGCTGTCGAGGAGATCAGTGCAGGGCTTCTGGGTTCTGGGGCCCTGCACCCCTAGCTGCTGACAGGCAAAACGCATGTCATGGGTGCTTGTGCAACTGACTGTCTCTGCCTTGGGGCAGTTGATTGTCTGTATTGATTCTTTTCTCTCCTTAGTCTGTGGTTTTGTAGGTGTTAATCGTTGCTAATTAGCTAATTATCTAGTAGGAGGTACTGTACATTGAGCTGGTCCCTGAGTGAATCATGATTGATTGGTAACACAGTAGGTTAGCAGCCAGGCCTGCGGTAATTCCCCCCACCCTCCTGCCCCACTCTGTGCCCCAAGACTGACACAGTTGCACAAGCACCCATGACATGAGTTTTGCCTGTCAGCAGCTAGAGGGGCAGGGCCCCAGAACCCAGAAGCCCCTGCACCTATTTCCTTGCCAGCTGGCAGGCTTCATGGCCACAGCAGGGGCTACCATCCCTGCAGCTTTCACCCTGCTGTGCCTTAACACACACAGTGTCACCCATGTCATGAGTTTTGCTTGTCCACAGCCTGAGGTGCAGTTTCCCCCAAACCCCTGCACTTATCTCCTTGAAACTTGGCAGGCTTTGTGGCTTCAACAGGGGCCACTACCCCTGCAGTTTTGACCCCCCGTATTGTAACACATACACATGACATGTTTCACTTTCAAGAATTTGGGGTGCAGTTCCTCCTAAACCCCTGCACCGATCTTCTTGAAACTTGGCAGGATTCATGCTCTGTGCAGATGCTACCACTCCTGCAAGTTTAATCTAAATTGGATAAAAAATAACAAAGTTATAGATATTTCATTGATTCCCCATTATACCATATGGCTGGATCTCCAAGGTGGCTCTGAAGCTTCGGAGCCACTTTAGCCAGATCGAAGTGGGAAACCAATCCGGAGCTCTGGATCTGATCGCTGGTATCCAAAGCGACCGGATCCAAAGCTGGATCAAATAGCTGCCTACTCGCACAGACCTACTGTAATGGGGTGTGTGCATCAGAGCTCTGTGCAGGCCTGGCTGTGTACTTATGAGTCATGGGTGGGTGTGCATGTTTAGGGTTTTGTATGCAGGCCTGGATGTGTACAAGCCCTGAGTGTATGTTAGGGGTGGTTTGGGTATACATGGCTTGGACGTGTACATGTCTAGGGTCTGCATGTACCTGCCCTGTGCATGTACATGTGGGTGGCAGAGACGTGGTTTGGCCATGTGTGAGCCTGGATCTGTGCATGCGTGTCCTAGCTGCATTTCTTGGGGAGATGCATGTGCACATCAGACATGCCCACATCCCTGGGCCAGGCACATGCCAGTGTGGTGGTGCATGCATTGCTTCCTATCCCGTGGTGCTTGCAGTGAGTGGTGAAGCAGGTTTGGGAAGCCCAATTGGGGGTGAGGGGGCAGCATATCTCTGGCAGCAGCCTGCAGCCACTGGCTGAGACCATGCCCAGCTGAGCATGGTTGTGCAGGGACCAACAGGGTGCTGGGCCCCCACACCTGTGGTAGCCTTGTGCTGCCGGAGGTCATGGCCCCCGCAGCTGTTGGAGCCTCTCAGTGGCACCGTCTCAGCTGCCACTCAGTGCGCAGCTCTCTCCCTCCCTCCCCTCTAGTCAGTGCCAAATGCGCAGCTTGGGCCTCACAGGCAGACCCTGCTCAGCTTATCAGGACCCTGGCTGGAACAGCCCGGGGTCCTCCGAGCTATGCTGTCCTCTCCAGCAGTGGTGCTGCACCCCTACAGCCTGCCCGTCTACCCCCAGGCTCCTCAGTGCTACCCCGGGCTGGTCCAGGTACACGTTCCCTGTGTCCGTGTGTCTTGTCTGTGTGTCTGTGCCCCTTGCTGTGACCTTCCGCCACAGGGGCCTTCATGCTGATGGAGTCCAGCTGGAGCTGGGAGCCCCACGGGAGTTCCTTGGGGCGTCTGCTACCACCTCACTCCTGTCAACGCCACAAGGAGATAACCCCTTGCTCCTGGTATTCTTAGTCCCCTCCATCCCCTGGGAGGTCAGATAGTGGATTCAGAGCACCCATGTATGGGGAGAGCTATTTCCAGCTCTTGGTGATGACGGAGGGGCCAGCTTCATGGCCTCTTTAGTTCCCATGTTTGCCTTGGTCCCTGGCCCTGAAACCTGGGTGATTTAGGTGGGGGGGAGCAATCTTGTGTTGCTGGGCTCACCCCAGGTGCCCCACTCCCTAAGCCTCATGTAGACACAGCTCCCAGGGCTCCTGTCCCTTACTGCACTGTGCCAGCTCTGGCCAGGAAAAGAGCATAGGGGTGGTCATCATCAAATAGGCCCTGGGACTAACTTCCCTGAAAGAAGGAGTGCTGGG